GTTGTCCAGGCAGTGATATACCTGTCAACACTTTATTAATAGGTGGAAGTTTGTGCTGTGGCATGCCTTGAACTAATATATGTGTGTTTATGTAAATGAGTATGAATACACATTTCACTCTATACTTTAAGTCTACATATTACTGGAGACTGTCTTGTCACTCTTGAATATTGTTAATTTTCTAGATACTATTTAAAAAATACTGATCAATATTCAATGATGAGACAATTATTCATTTTAATAACATGAATTCAAATGTTTTAATGGTTCAGCAAAATAAGTAACACACTACCATGAGAGTTTCCTGCTTCCCCAGTAGCAGATCAGAACAACTGACTTCTGTAACATCCAGTTTTCCTGTTCTGGTTATTCTTCATGGATTAGGCTCACTTGTCAATGATTTTGCAATCATATTGTCTTTGTTATCTTAGAGGCAGATTAGTTGCTTCCAGAATAGAACACCAACAAAAGCAAGGCAGGGGGAGGGGACACATTTTAAAATGCCTTATTCTGGCTCAGGAACATGAAAGTGTAATCAGTAAGATATGGTTATGATTACAAGAAAATACATTCCAAAATTTAAAAAAAAAATAAAGCAAGAAAGGAAAGAAGTCAGGAGTTGGGTGGTGCTCTGGCCTCAGCCTAGCCCTCAACCCCTCAATTCTAAGCATTAAGAGTATCTGGGGTATCTCTGCTTGTAGCATGTACTGAACATGGTCAAACTAAGTGTATCATGACCAGCATTTCTTGCCTGTCACTGCTGCTGTGGCTCAAACTGGACATGTAAGAGTCACTCCACCCAAAATCCTTCTCAACTCCCATTAACCAGTTCCCAACTGTCAGAAAAGTTAGCCAGTTAGCAGTTACAGGATGATGATGACATTTGTTTGTTTTTCTCACCAGTATTTTCATTTGGAGCAACATCATCTCTCATCTGCATTCTCTCCTACCTTCTGACAGATCCCTTACAGCCATACCTGTCATTCTCCAGTGTGATTAAAATTCATCAGCCACACTTCTGCTTCCAAATATTCTTATTGTCCCTTCAGTGGCTACCCTTGCTCTCACACTCTAGCCCTACTTTTCTTTTAACTTATATCAGGATAGCTTATCTTTCTTATTATTATCTGTATTTGTCCTTTGACTACTTCATGCCTATGTAGTACATTCCATTTACTCTCACTCTCTCACTCCCCCTTCTTACCTTTCTTCCACTTCTGTCATTCTCCTTCCCTTTACAGGACCCTTCCTCTCAGCCATACCATATGTCTTTCTGTTTCCTTTGGTGACTCACTGATTTTAACCAGGTTCATCTATGTGGCTACAGGTTTGGTATTATCCACTGAGCCTGGTAAGCTCACTGTTTGGTATACACTGAAGATGAATTCATCTGCTCCAGAATCTATTACTTGTCTGTAATTCAGCAGAGTAGTATAGAGTCCCACAAGCCCCTACTAGATTCAAGATTATCTATTGGCATGTCCAGGCTTGTTCCAGCTCAGTGCTGCTGAAGCTGCTGTGAGATCATGATTGCAGTGGCTGTGTCATAACCTGATGATAGCATTTGCTATCTCCATACCTTCTGGATCATGCATTGCTTTAGTTCCCCCTTCTTTACATGTTAAAATTTGTGGTATAAATGTCCCATTAAGAAGTGAGCCCTGGGCTTTGATAACCTGGTCCCAAGCTGGATTACCTCACCTTGCCTTGACCTAAGGTGAGAAGCTCAGTCCTGCCTCAACTTAATGTGCCATGCTTTGTGCAAGCCCATGGATGACTGCCCCTTTCTGAATGGAGATGGAAGAGGGGTGGGTAGGGAGTGGTATAGATGGGAAAGGGGAGTGGACAGAGGAGAACAGGGAGGAGAAACTGATTGCCAGGTAAAATAAATGAAAACAGTTATTTAAATAATTAAAAAAACTGAGCACTCATTTATCATTTAGTCTAACAATCTTGTGCTGCCCTGACTCTGTATTCACCACCATTCACTGCAAAAAGAAGCTTCTCTAATTTAGGACAAGAGTGGTGAATTTGTCTATGGGTCTAAATAGAAACATTTACACTGCTGTATCAATATTGGTGAACAAAAGTGATGAAGTCTCTCAAAGTCTATTATACCCTAAGAAATGGGTTTTAACCAAGTTTAGAGTACCAGGCATGCATTACATCCTGTGGAGTGGGCCTCAAGTCCAATGTAAAGGCTTTTTTTGTTACTCTGTAATAGTTGTACAACTATTGCACAAGTGAGCACCTCTTGCCAGATAATTTGGCACTATAGTACACAGGGTTTACAGCTGGGGAATACTACCAGTGCCTTATTTCCCATAGCATAGACTGCATAGCATGTCAAGGTGCTATGAAAATTAATCAATATTTAGAGTCTCATTCCAGCCCAAGGATAGCTTACATTTCAAATTGCAGGCAAAGAATTAATTACTCAGTTACAAGCTTAATCTACACCCTCAGATTGAGTAATCTCCCAAAATAATGTAAACTCCATTGTCATGTGTTCAATCTGCAATTAGTTCTAGACAGCCATTTGCCCTACTAGAATATGGACACCGAGAGGCTGAGAAGCATATCTATTTTCAAAACGTCATTGTCAGTGTTTGTGAAATAGCATTTGTCCATGATAATGAATGAAAATGATACAAAAGAGTAGTGATAGAGAGTTGATGTCTGTTGTCAGTTTTTGTTTATATGGTAGATACATGAAGATTACTATAAAGCCATGTTATCTTATGAGTGTTGCTGACATTTTGCCCAGTGACTTTACATTTTGGATCTTGGATCATATTCTCCATAACTCCATCAAACTTCAGATTGCATGTGATTTTTTCCCCAGTTTTGTATTTTTCTAGGTAGCTATACCAGCAAATTTTCCAGAATTTTGGAACTACAGGGAGATCTATTTTAGGCATGCCTATCTTATACCTTACAACTAGAATAAATGTATTTTTATTATTAGTCCCTGTAATCATAGATAAGAGATATAAATGGCACATAGAGAAAAAAAAATAGTTTCCTCTCATCTTTCATCATTTTATTTTGTCTTTTATATATTTTTTGTTTGAGACAGAGTTTCTCTGTATTGTTTTGGAGCCTGTCCTGGAACAGGCTGGGCTCAAACTCACAGAGATCCTGATGGCTCTGCCTCTACCTCCCCAGTGCTGGGATTAAAGGTGTGTACCACCAATGCCTGTACATGCATTGTTTTGTTTATTTGTTTGTTTTATCTTTTTTTCTTTTATAATTTTTACAACCCTTTACAATTTATTCAAGTGGCTGCTCATATATTCTCTTCAGGAACATTTATAATAATTGCATATAATTTGTATTCTTTCCATTTTTAAAGATGAATGACACTCAACATTGTTTGCTTTCTTGCCCATACACTAAGATTGCTAATATGTACTAATCACATGACAAATGGTACTCAAATGATTTCATCATTCAACAGTAATCTAGTGGAAAAGTCAGTGTTAACATTTATCTAGATTAGATTAATGAAGGACACCATAGTTTAGAGACATGGATGTCTTGCCAAGTTCTTTCTAGGTGTCTGAGAAGATCTATCCATAATAGATCTTCAATATGTCCTTGTCGAATCACTCAATGGGTCACTACTATTATTTTGGGTGTATGTGAGGGTAGCTTGGGACTTACTTTGTTTTCTGAACTTCTTTCTTTCAGCCCAAATCAAAGAGAATCTTTCTGAAGGCGGTGGACAGAGAAGAAGGCTAACTAACAGAAAGAAAGCTGGATTCTGAGGTTTTTGTTTTGTTTTGTTTTAAGAAGGAAGGAAACATTTTAGGATTTAATCATTAGTTACATTGTCTACTAAATGCTTTGGGAATATTTACTGAAACATATTTTTCTGTTGTCATTATATTTAACTTGAATAATAGTCTTCTGTAAGAGCAAAGATAAGGAAGAAAAATCAGCAATCTTTCTCCTGCTCCACCCCTGGTGTGTGTGTGTGTGTGTGTGTGTGTGTGTGTGTGTGTGTGTGTGTGTGTGTATGTGTGTGTCTTCTTTGTATGCGCTCCTGTAACTCTCCAGCTTAGCAGATTGTCATGCAGTACATCTGTACTCTGTTTATGGCGCTATTCTTTACCTGTCTGTAACCTAGAAACTTCCAAGCACTATGATAGCAAACAGCTCTTTCCCTCTGGTTTGTCCTCCATCCTAGGGAAGCTATCAGATTCCTGCTGGCAGCCATCCCTCCTCCACGGTTCCCTTGGAGTCACCTCTCTAAACTGCCCCAGGATGACTCTCATTGTCCCAGAGTGGAGAGGTGGGGGAGGGCATGCAGGCATGTAGTATGTGGGTCAGGAGGGAAGCTGGACTTGGCTTCAGCTGGGAACCTGCAATACCATACCAGTTTTGGACCCTATGAGCACTGGGTTACTGCTCTCAGCAGTGAACTGCTGGACCACCAGCTGGGTATGATCTGTGTGCTTTCTGTCTCACAAGCGCTGCAGGCTCTTGGAGGTCCCCCGCGTGGCAGCAAGGAGCTAGCCATGGGCTTAGAGTTGATGTTGTCTAGTCTAAGGGTTAGAAACACCATTTTAAAAGCGCAATTTGCTTTTCACTCTTCACCCGAATGACCTTGGACTTGTTCGTCAGATTCTATGTGACAGTTTGTAAATCCATAAAATGGGGACGTTGAAGAGTCAACTTCGATCTAATAAGCATGGTTTTCTGAGCATAGTAGGCACTCTCGGTAAATGATAATAATGCTCCGTAGTAGATACAGATTGAGTATTGGGGTCCAGAACCCAGGGTTGAGCTCCACCTTTCCCACTAACTCACCAAGGAGTGCTTCGGGTATTTGGAGCACCTGCCCTGCCTCCCCCCCCCCCCCCAAGATAAGCCAAAGAACACGACTCCGGGCACACCAGTCCTGATGTTCTCCGCACCCTCTTTCCCCCGCCCTGGGCAGAGGAAATAATTTTTTTTCTATGAACTGAGTTTCAGTCTGGTGGTGGTGATGATGTGCCCGGGGCAGTAGGAAAGGGGCTAAGAAAAGGAAGAAGGGAAGTGGTGGCATGAAGATAGGTGGCTTGGAGTCTCAGGCGGTCTAGCGAGCCCCTTCATTGTGCTTGCCTTCTGTGAAACAGCGGGCTTGGAGAGGAGCAGTTTCAGCTGGCCAGAGCGGAGCGGCAGGGGTGCAGCTCTGTTGGGCCACAGTAGTGGGCTGCGAGCTTAGGAGGGTGAGGTAAGGAGTGGCGGGTGGCGGGTGGCGGGGACCGTGATCGTGTGTGTGTGTGTGTGTGTGAGTGTGTGTGTGTGTGTGTGTGTGGCGTGAGGGACTGGAGGAGCGCATCCCACCCCGCCACCCGCCCTCGCGCTTGATGCCTCTTGGCCAGGCACCTGTGCTGTAGCTTCAGTCACCCCTCTGTCCCTCACGCCCCCACCTTCTTGTCCCTCAGTCAAACCTAGCCCTGCCGGTTTAAAATTTCCCAGTGCCGAGTCAGACCCAAACCCAGAGATGCCTTTGCCTGACTGCTCCCATCGCCCCCTCCCCCTCCTGCTATAAATAGTCAGGCTAGCGGGTCAGGGACGTCACAACGCCAGAAACCAGGACCCTGAGGTTTTCTTCTTTGGGAATAGGGGGCAAAGGGTGAGCAGAAGGAAGAAAAAGAAATCGCTCGTGAGTAGTGAAGAAAAAGCTTGCTCCTTGGCTCCCAGGAAAGACTAGCATCTTTGAATTCCTGCATCCTTCCCCTTTCTTCTCACCCCCTTTCTGATTCTTTCATATTCTCAATCTACTCCCCACCCCCCTCGCTCAAAATCCAACGTTTGCTCAGCACTCCTCCCATTGGTTTTTTTTCTCCTCCTCGGACTCCAGTTCCCACTGCTCCCCTCCCCACTCTCAGAGCTCCCACCCCCACCTCCTCCACTTGTCCCAGGCAGGGGATTGCTATTCTTAAGGAAATAAAGTTCAACTCCTCATCCCTTTCAACCTGCTTAGACCAAGAGTAGGATTCCAAGGCACCCATCTATCTTCCTGCCTCGTTCCCGGCCTTTACACCCCACATCTTCTAATCTTTATTTTCCATATTTAAGGACACACACACACACACACACACACAACACACACACACACGTGAAGTGCAAAACTACCTCCTGCAACAAAAGAAACTTACCAGACGCTCTCCTTGCTTTTGTCTTAAAGAAAATAAGACAACAAAGATTCAACTCTGGTTGGCACTTCTGGGGTGACAGTTTAATATTATTCAATCATGTATATATTGCATATATATATACGTTTTTCTTCCTTTTTCCCCTTTAATTTTTCTTAAACAAGGAAATCTCTGTCCCCAGCAGCCGCCGCTGCCCCTTTGATGTTTTGGTACGCCGTGCGCATGCGCTCCACATTAGAATTACTGCACTGGGCAGACTAAGTTGGATCTCCTCTCTTCAGTGAATCCCTCAATCCCATCAAAAACTAAAGGGATGTGGAGAGTCCGGAAAAGGGGCTACTTTGGGATTTGGTCGTTTCCCTTAATAATCGCCGCTGTCTGTGCTCAGAGGTAAGTGTATTTTCCTTTCTCACTTGTCAGGGCTCTGCCTGCATACCTCTATGTGAGCAGGGCTGTTGAAGATGCCGTGCTGGCTTCTTTATTCATTCCTGTTTATTGTCATTTTTTTTCTTTAGTGTCAATGACCCTAGTAATATGTCGCTGGTTAAAGAGACGGTGGACAGACTGTTGAAAGGCTATGACATTCGCCTGAGACCAGATTTTGGAGGTAATGAAATTGCCTTGCAAATAAGAAACAGCCCGGCTCCAGCCGAAAGCTGTCTTTTGGGCTTTGTGTGCGCTCTCTTCTGTCTCCTTAGTTGTGGGTGCATGTGCTGTATGGAATGTTTCCCTATGTTACCATTCTGAGAAACGATCTAAACTTAAGTCAGCTTGTTACTGTCCAGCACTTGAGAGTTCTTTCAAGAACGATCCCCTCTGCGTGTAATCAGACTTGGTAACCGCTTTTCATCTCCTTCACCATGATAAATCTTTGTTTCCAGTCTGAGCTTTCCTAAAACACAAGCCTCTTAAGTTTGCTTAACGGTGTGCCCAGGGCTATCTTGTAATGTATTTTTGAGGACAGGATGTGTAGGCAGTTGGCTGAGAGGTGGCCTCAACTCTCTGTGCCCACCTACTTTGGAAGAGTGGTTTAAAGTGGTTCATAATCCAGACATGAAAAACTCAGGTCTGGGGGGATGCAGAATAGAGATAGCTGAGGGAAATGGACCTCTCTCTCTCTCTCTCTCTCTCTCTCTCTCTCTCTCTCTCTCTCTCTCTCTCCCTCTCTCTTTCTGTCTGTCTCTGCAGCTCCAGACAAGCTAGTGTGAAAATTGAATTTTGTTTCAGACTCTTAATGGAACTAAAGAGTTAAAACCTACACACAGAAGTGTGTGGGTACAAAACGAGAAAGAGGGGGTTTCAATGTAATACACACACATTCCCAGGGCAAAAACATTCTTCTGCTGCTGTCACTTGTATGAATTCACAGGCTGAGACATTGACATGTATAGACACAGCTGGAATCACTATACCATCCACACATGTGTACATACCCCTAGAAGAGTATTCCCCCACTCTTCTTGCCAAGAAGTAGGAAAGAGACAAACATGAGGGTTACCTTTAGAGAGGGGGTTCTGTAGGGTTCCCAGTGACAACTCTGGTTATGAATGACTAAGTTCTAAAAAGTCACGTGGCTCATCATCTTGGTTTACAGGTCCCCCTGTGGCTGTAGGAATGAACATTGATATTGCCAGCATTGATATGGTCTCTGAAGTCAATATGGTGAGTAGTAATGTTAATAGCTGCAATCCTTCATTTGGGAATGGGAGAGTGCAGCCATGGGGGTGTAGCTTGCTTGAATATATGCACAGTACGGGGACATTGCCCTGGAATTCATGTATATATAGGTACAGAACAACTTTTGGTTCATTGCACTTTTTTCCAATTTGGAGTCAACACTGTGACTCGATACAGAGTGAGTAAAAGACATCACACATTTGTTTGTAAAAGGCAGCAATATGCTGGAGGCCCCATGCAGAATCTATGGTTGTCACAGCTTCTTGGACACCTCAGTTTGTCAAGTGATTTGGATTTGGAGATCAGTCATGGGAAAAGGAGGGTTTGAATGTGCTAGGGAATCTTAGAATCTTACAAACTAAACTATTACAAATCGACTAAGTAATTGATCCTGGAATATTGATGCCCACTTGTTGCTTTGGGAAAAAGCCTCTTTATACTTAACTTCATTCAGCATCCCCACCTCCACCTGCTCTCCATCTCCTTTAACCCCTTCTGCTATCCCAGTGAGATAAAAGAAAAGCTGGACACTGTTTCCAAAATGCAAGCTTAATAACAAGTGTCCTTTCTTATTGAACCTGCAATGTTATATCATATGTACCAAGCTCATACACGTTATTGACAGCCACATTCAGTACCTCTTTGGATGAAGAATAAGCACTAAGAAAGAGGGGTGTGGGAAGAACCTCTGTTCTTCAACAGAGAATCAGTTGAGGGGGGGTGCTTCATGCAGGAGCGCCCCCTGCTGCCCATGTTGGAGCATTGCGGACATTCATGACAAGGGCAAGTGTCCCAGATTCCCCCACTTAACTCAGGGGCATTTCTCAAGTGAGTCTCTCTCTCTCTCTCTCTCTCTCTCTCTCTCTCTCTCTATTTATCTATCTATCTCTATCTCTTTCTCTCCCTCTCTCCTCTCTTTTGCTCTCAACCAGTTTTTCCCTTTTGGAAAGTCTGTCTAGACAGACTGAATCTCAATGTAATATTCTAGTATTCCTTCCAGATCTGATAGAACAGGGCATATTTCAAATTGTTATAGGACATCCTCCTATCCTCCTGTCTTAAAAGTGGCCTTAAAAATAATTAAAGAAGTAGTTGAAATGTGTAATCTTTTATACAAACACTTCTAAGCCAGTCATTGAGACATGAAATTTAGGACATACTAATTAACTCAAGAAGTTTGAAGCCAGGATTTAGCCTGGCTCTCATCTCAACTTGACAGAAGATCCCAGATTCCCAGAAATCAAAGAGGCAACTCATATACCAATCACGGGTGCTGGGCAGTAATGATCTGAAGGCATCATAAGATTTTGATCGTTTTCAGAAATCAAGGGTGATAATCAATTCAGTAGTGGCTTAATAACAGAAATCACACTGTAATAATTGTTTGTATTATATGGTATACACATACAGAAGAAAGGCATTTCTCAAACATGCAAATATTTGCTTTTGTGGGATCTGAGAAGTCTTCCACCCGTTTACATATTTTGAATATGAACATAAAAATAGAAAATGTTCTAATCTGGGTACTTCCATAATCCCAGGTACTTGACTCTAAATTGAATCGTTAAGCTGCTAACTTGAAAGTTATATAGAAATCAATTAAGTTTTTGTTTTCAAAGTGTGTTTGCATTAGACAAACTTGTATCTCACCTATTTTCTTTTTGATTTATGTTCCTCTTCTGCAATAAAATATTATTTTACCAACTAATTTTTAGAAACATCACAAAATAATAATTTACAGAAAAAAAATAAGAAAAAGCATCTAAAAGATGAAGCAGTGCTCACTAAATGACTGACACCAGGTTACTCCAAGTGGTTAGGTAAGGACTTGGGTGTATTACATCCTTACATGGGGTAGAGTGGTGAACTTTTATTTTCTTCATGAATTTCATTGATATTTTTCCCCTGCAAGTATCATTTTGGAGTGGTATCAGAGGTGGACACAATGTCAAGACCTGCTAGTCAAAATATAGATCCAGCTGAGGCAGGGTGTCATCACTTTGAGCTATTTACTGTTGCAGAGAAGTCATGGGATGTCGAAAGTGCAAAAATAAATGTCAGCTTGTAAATGGGGCAACATTGTAGCATTAATGATTTGAAGCAAGTGTGAAAATTTCCAAGCCAGATTCCTTTCTTAGCTTAATGCTGACACTCATAGATTTGTTCAAACACACTTGGATCTGTCTAAAAACATATTTATTTCATCTACCAGTCTTGGTGACCTAAAACTAATCTTCCAAAGAATATTTTTGTAGCAAATGTTGCTATTACCTTGTTTCTAAATATGGCAATTCTCTTGGAAGCAACAGATGAGTTAGACCCCCATTGGTAGCTCAATATAAGATTTTCATTGCAAATTGTACAAAGGCCTACAAGTATTGGGCTGTTTTAGTTATATTTAGTATCAAAAGAATGGTTGATTATTTAAGTGAAATCTCAAAGTTGATTAGTACACATATTTCTTCTTCAATTTCTCTTGTAAACTAGTATCTAGTAGCTGTAACTATTGTTATGGTACATCTTCCTTTGAAGAATGAGATTCCCTAGACCATTCACTCATTTGAACCAAAGGAATAAAACTTGTGTTGATGTTATTTTTTGTTTTGTTTTGTTTTGCTTTGCTTTGTTTTACAGATAACAATTGTAGAAAGATCCTGAATTGGCTCAAAGTTGTTAGATGCCATCTCCATTTCTTAGTCACACTGAGTGTGTCTACAGTCATAAAGGTCTCAGTTTCCTTAAGTGTCAAAATAGAGCAATAGTTCTGTTTACTCTCCGAGATAACTACCAGAATTAGTCAAATGGCATTGGATGCACTTAACTAAATGATGGGTGAAAGCTAGGCAAGTATTCATGGTACTCAGTATTCACTCCTGCTGCTGCCCTATGTTCCTGTGCAATAGTCATGCACCTCATCAAATTGCAGTTTCTCCATGGTTGAAATGAAAAGGGCATATTTAATTGACTTTCATCTCCAAGTTACACATATCTCTAGTTACACTTATTTGTTATGGTAACTGTTACAAACAGAAAACTTTCAGGAAAACTTTGAAATATAAAAAAAACATTAATGAAGCCCCAAATTTCTGAGCTGTGTGTAATTTTGAGTTATAGGAGGGTGGTGACAGTGTGGCAGGCTCTTGACTCGGGTGACCATCACCCAGAAGAAGATGTTTGGAAAATATGATCTCAGTCAGAATGCTGCTAAGCAGGATGCTTGGCTCTAGAATGAAACATTTTTAGATGTCTTGGTTAAATTGGCAGGAATCTTTTTGTTAAGATTCTTTGATGAAAAGTGCATTTTACGATTCAAATTTGGCTCTGAGAATTATAGACCAAAATAGCTTTTTCTTCATTTGAGGCAGATTCTTCATTTTGAAATGGCACATTTGCCAACCAACTGAAGCAATATTTCACTTTTCAGGAAAGAGTTCTAGTAAACACATTCACAAAATTACCTTTTTATGGAATGGCAAATGAAGAGAAGTAATGTTTTAAAAATATACAGATGTTTCTTGTATGGCCAGCTGCACAGCTTAAAATTCCATTCAAGAACTAGTTATTTAGCTGTTACTATAAGCAAAATGTGTGTAAGACCTGATGGACAGAGAAACAAAATTACCTAGCCCCTGGCCTCATGTAACTTTGTATTTGAGTGTGCATTACTCTTCAACTCTGCCACCTGTTCTTACATTTGCTTAGTCTAAGTCTTACCTTTTCTTTCAGGCCTTTGTTGAACAGCCAAGCAGGTGCCTAGTGTTCTCTCTCTCCTTTCAGTCTTTTGTCACTTCTTAATTTCAATGCTCATTTAGTATTTGGTATGTCAAGTTGGCTTATTTGCTACATAGTTCACCTGCCCACTTCTATCATGTTGATGAATATCATCAAAACAAATAATATTGCCTCTGCCAGTATGTGAAGTTTCCAGCATTGAATGAAGAATTCATTTTCATAGCAGAAGTTTGTTATTACGACCTATAATGTATATGTGAAGAAATAGAGCATAGAACATAGTGCTTGATTTGAAGACATGCACCATTTAAAATGTGTAGAGTGAATCCCAATGTCAAGTTGTAAGTACTTTGAAGGAGGATAGAACATTATGTAGAAATATAGAATAATGATGAACTACATAGAAGTCACAATGGAGTTAGAGATCTATGGATAGTTGTTCCAAGAAGGAAGAAAAACTAGAAAGTAACTAATAAAAGAGAATATGGTAATGGAGATAGAAATGGTGTCAGGGATTTATCTGGTCACTTTTAAAAAGCTGGTGGGGTCCTGGAGACCATGGTGAAGAGTTAGTGATATAGTCATGGGCAGTGATCAGATGATGCAGAGTAGGCGTGTTCACATGTGCCATGCATGTGTGTGTATATGTGTGTGTGTGTGTGTGTCTGTTTGCCTGCCTGCCTGCCTGTCTTACTCAAGAGTGTGTTATTTTTTTCAAAGAGAGTAAGCACTCATGGAAAAATTTTAACAGAGTTACATAGTCTGACTCAAACATATGGAAGATGGTTGTGAAGTTTAAGAAGTGAACAAGAGTGGAGAAAGGCCTAAGGTCTAAAGAAGCAAAGAAGATATGAAAACCAACTATGCAGGCTGGGAATCATTGGTGAGTGAAGATATGACCATAATGGAGAAAGTTAAAAAACAAAACAAAACAAACCCAAAACAAAAAACTACATTTGCTTACGGATGAGAAATGGTAGGGTTTAGATGAAGTCTGTGTCATTTGTTGCTATGGAGGACATAAGAAAGACAGTGGAGACTAGAAGGGTGAAGCCTTAGCTGATGGTTCAGTGTTCAGTTTAGGTAATGCTGAGTTTCCTATATGCATGCAGTGTTCAAGTGGGGGTACCTGATAGGTGATTGAGAAATGGAAGCCTACAATAGAGAAGAGTGGTTGAGGATGAACTGGAACACTGTGGCAGGTGAGTGAGACTTATAACCATATGAAGAGAAAGAGGAGAGGTGGGGGAGGT